ACCTGGCTATAAATCACGGCAAACAAGTGCCACACATGTGTCAGACTATAATGGATTTGACGGCAGCCGTGGACTCCATGAACGGATCGATCGGACGGATAATGTTTGTCAAAATAGCCGCCAATTCGGTGCTGATCTCCGCCTGTCTGTGCACTCTAGCGGTGGTAGAGCTCGGCCTACAAAACATCATCGCTGTCACCATGTATGCCATCCTATCAATACTGGACATCTGGTCGGCCTGTCATTCATCTCAGATGATAATCAACGCCATGACAGCCCTCTGTAAACAAGCCGAGAGGTGTCTGTCCGTTGGGGACAGTCAACCGCAGAGTAACGGTGCTAATGGCGGCGATAGCTATAGACCGCTACGTAGTATTGTGTCGATGAGAAAGTATATGCGCTTTAATGTGTGCGAGTTGTTTGACTTGCAAGATGTAACTGTCCTTGTTGTTATTAGCTATGTGTGTAATTATGCGGTTATACTCGTACAGACCCAGGGTGATATCAATGTTGCGAACCCCTTGCTGAATAATTAGAGTAACAAGGTAAACTTTTATTTAAAGTGCTTAATATTATTTTTATCAATCATTGCGTATGTATTCATTGCAGAAAGTATTTAATAAATTATAAATTTAAATATTGTAAATTAATTATTAATTATGATTTGTTTAGCTTAGTCTTGAATATAGTATTGAATAATTGAATCTATGAAATATTATATCATATTATAAATCTATTTAACATTTTGTAAGCTAGGTGAAGAATTGAATATAAATTATATGATATAATATAATATAATAATTTATTACTTTTGCTTATATAAATTGTTTTCTACTTATAGAAATAAAACTAATTGATTTTAATAGTATACCTAATAAATTAGTTTCAACCTTATTTAGGCATATTTAATATTATCACAAATTGGACATGAAAACATAATTGATTCGTTAAATAGCTACGAAATACAGTTAGCCTCGCAATTAATTGACCCGTCACAAATTGATGTCACGTTTGATGACATAGCTGGCCTAGATCATATCGTCCACTCAATTAAGTCGAATATTATCTTGCTTTTAAAACCCATTATAAATCGTCATCTAAGCAACAAATCCCAATATTATCAAGCTCCGAAAGGTGTTTTATTATATGGGCCGCCAGGGTGTGGTAAGACTATGCTGGCAAAGGCTACTGCCAAGATGGCTAACTCAAGGTATAGCTGAATAGCCATTAGCTGTTAAGCCATTATTATAATATTTTATTTTAATTTACTACTATTTGTATCATACCGTTACCTATTTGTATCATACCGTTACCTATTTGTATCATACCGTTACCTATTTGTATCATACCGTTACCTATTTGTATCATACCGTTACCTATTTGTATCATACCGTTACCTATTTGTAAAAGGTTTATCAATTTGGAAATTCCCACGATGACCGATAAACTATACGNCTATTTGTATCATACCGTTACCTATTTGTATCATACCGTTACCTATTTGTATCATACCGTTACCTATTTGTATCATACCGTTACCTATTTGTAAAAGGTTTATCAATTTGGAAATTCCCACGATGACCGATAAACTATACGGTGAATCACAAAAATTAGCCACGGCGGTATTTACATTGGCACAAAAATTGCAACCATGCATCATATTCATAGATGAGATTGATACATTTTTGCGATCGCGAGGTAACAATGACCACGAAGCTACAGCCATGATCAAGGCACAGTTCATGATCTTGTGGGACGGCCTAAAGTCAAACAAAAACAATTCAAGAATAATTGTCATGGGTGCTACATATAGACCACATGACGTTGACCTGGCTATTATCCGGCGAATGCCCATGAGGTTTGAGGTGCCATTGCCAAATGAAAATCAGAGGTTGGCAATTTTGACAAAATTGATCAAGGATGAAAATATCGATAAAAGTGTTGACTTACTATATGTTGCAAAGAACACTGATACATTTTCAGCAAGCGACCTTAAAGAATTGTGTCGCTACGCTATTTATACGCCAGTGCGTGAAAAAAGTGACATACTCATTAAGCAATCCGAATCAGACTTAAACGATCAACTTATTAAAACTAGCATTACACACATGAGAAAGGTGAAATCCAAAGATTTTGATGATGCAATTGAGCTGATGAAAGAGGGCAAAAAGTTCCTTGACGTTCCTGGCCAAAAAGTGACGAGTATGTTAGGAAATTAAAATTATATTTAATTTTTAAAATATTTTATATTAATTATGTATATTAATAAAATATCCCTGTAAAAATAAATTTGACTGAACAAATAACATTAATTATTATATATTTTGAGTAAAATAACCGTGGTAAGATCGTCATGAAACAAAATATGATTTCAATAAAAACATAATAATTGTTCAAATGATGAACTAATAAATGATACAGGTAATTTTAACAAATGTATCAACTTTATATACGCATTTTATTATCGATTAAAGCTTTATAATGTTTTATAAACATGAGCTTGTTGTATTTTTTTAGTATGAATAGTATATTTAAGTTAGTTTATATAAATCAAAAATGGTTAAATAAACATATTTTTAGAATATGAAATAAAAATTAATAAACTAAACATATTATGACATATCGTATAAAGAAAATAGTGAAAGAGTTGAAAATCAAAATATAAAAATTAATTTTAATCAGATGTTATTTTAGAATGAAGAATTTATAAATGCTTACAGCTAGTACAGAAATAAATAATAATTTTCTATATTAATTATTAGCCTAATAACAAACATTAAAAATATATTTCACTATAATTTTAAAGTTATTTTCATTTATGCTTATTATAATGAATGAAAATATTATATTTTTACCCAACCATATATTATTATCTATTGTTAAAACATTGACTTAAGAAAAAGCACACGAATAAGCAAATAGTTATTATTACAGTTTGTCACGCAATATGCAGAATATTATCTATTATAGTGTTTACTCATGAATATTATATTAATAATTTTATTTTTAAGCATAACTTTTATATTAGTCTTTTAAAATTTTATATTAATATTACAATTGTTTCATAAATAGTCGTATGATTACTATCGATATAATAATATCACGGATTTTACGGCTATTTTATCGCAAAACTGTTGTCTAGTTTAGATGTATTGACCGCAGCATAGCTATGATCGCACCGTCAGCTCTGGACATGAATCTAGAGTTTAATGATATTAAAGCCCAAAAAGTTGATAATAAAGAGGACATGAATGATCTAGCTAATTCAACCTTGTGCTCACTACTACGACTACAGGCTGTGTTTGGTATATCCTATTGCGGTGCTACGCCTATGGGTCGGAGTAGGACTACCCTTAAACGGTGGGCAATATTGGTGTACGACTGGGCTATTATGGGTGCGTTTATGTATTACGAATGGGCGGCCTATTGGGATGACACGTTTACCCGGGTGTTTGAGAGGACTAGTAATAAAGGACTAATGAGTGCTATATTTAAAGTAGCCGGTTTGGCTGAGGCGATTGAGTATTTTGTGATCAAGGTGATGTTGTTAATCAATGGACAAAATATTATCATGGCAATTCGCTCAATAGGTTAGTAAAGTATTTTCGATAATAATGTTAAAATTAATAGTTATAATTAAATTACAATTAGTTTAGCGTTATCATTTTTATTGTACTGCATAATGAATAAACATTTTAGTAATTTTAATGATAATTTTTGTTTAATTAAAATTGTTATTCAATTAAAACGTTAGGTTATATTAAATCTACAAAACAACAGCAATTAATATATTCATACTGTATATGGTGTTCATGTGCCTGGCCTTATGCATTGCCAATGTACTAAATTACACCGAGTCCGATGAGACATTTATGGAGTTTTATACCAAGGATAAATATAGAGATATTTTACGGATTTACGGGGATATTACACGGAATTGTTAAATGTTCCGTAGTGGCCATGCTAATATATTTCTCGTTTGCTATATACCAACACTTAATCGGTATGTTTGTTAATTAAATATTAAATTATATTATATTAATATTACAATTCATATTAATTTGTAAAATAATAATAAACTAAATGTTTAGTTTAAAAATATTTTTAAATAGGGTATGAATAAAATTATATTGAATTGAATTGAAATTGAAATAATATATAAGAAAATTATGACTAAATCCAAATAATGAGTATTTTAATTAGACTTAAAATAACAAAATAATTAGTTATAAAATAAATTAAAGTTTTTATAAATATTATTTAAATGAATTTATTATTATACTGTATTAATTATATTAAAGGCATAACCGATAACCTGGCTATAAATCACGGCAAACAAGTGCCACACATGTGTCAGACTATAATGGATTTGACGGCAGCCGTGGACTC